GATTTAGAGGATGTGGTAATCTCAAGACCAGAAAGGTCTAAATTTGGTCCCCGAGTCCTGTTACCCAAGCTGGACCTTGGATACAGAGAATTTATTAATGATGTTTATTTTAGCATTTGTAAGATAACACGATGGAGCTGGTGAAACATTTCTTAAGATGAAGGAATGCTTTCAACTGGCACTATATGAACATGAGGAAAGCCAGACATGGTGGCATATTCCTTTAATCTCAGCTCTTGGGAGGCAGAGGTAGGCAGATCTCTGTGAGTTTGAAATCAGTTGGTCTACAGAGTTCCAGTATGGTAAAGGCTACACAGAGAAACACTGTCTTGAAAATCCAAGCAAACAATGAAATTTTGAAATAACATTACAATTTATCCCTGAAAATGTATGGAGAATAATGAGGAAGGGAAGCATAGGCCAGATGCTGAACGAGAAACAAAGAGTCTGGATTCTTACTTGGTCATTGGTAGTAATTTTGATTTTGGTGTTGAAATTGGCAAATATGCTACTGAGCTAATAAGAGCAATGATGACCACAACATCAAGAAAATCAGTCAGAAATCTGTTAGCGTTGCCCTCATTATAAAGCCAAGAGAGGAGGGCAGAGATATGCAGTTGAGTTATTGGCAGGACCTGTGCTAACATGCTTTTACAATTTTACCATGGAAAGATTATGTCCTTCTTGAATGCTAGTAGAAATCAGAGATGTCTTATAATATATTATTTAGAAATCAGTTTGTTTAAAGCAACACTCCTAGCAGTATGTAATTACTTCATATAAAGTTATGAGGATAGCTGTATGGTGAAGGTCTCATTTCGAAGATGAGGTATGAAAAGAAAGTTGTTCTGGCTCCAAAATGCAGGTTAAATATGCCACAGCCACTACTATCTTCTACTCACAGCAACTTCATGTCCAATACTTCTAGCGAAACAATAAATATCATGATAGAAAATAAAGTGGGTAAACACTTTGTATACATAAGTAGAGTTGTTCCTTCAAGAACTACTAAATACATAAGTTGTTTGCATTTTCAGGAGAGAAACTAGAGATCCACATGCAGGAGCTGACAGAATAATGAACGGTTACAGGTTCAGTACAGTCTGGAACACCCATTCTGCTCCAGCACACTGGACAGTTGGGCCTTCCTCTCCTTTGATACCTACTTCCTGGAAGGAACAGAGTCTGCTTTTATTTTTCCAAACTCAGTGACTTTTATAAACTTAATTCAGTTTTCTAATAGGCTTTCTATAACTACTTTTATCCAATCCTCCTCACTGTTTTGAAGTCTCAAAACCTGAATGTGTTCATACTTTGTCATGAATAATGCTCAGTGTTACTTTGCCAAATGTTAATATTCCTTTGGGTGATGTTTGTTTTCCCTTACAGTGACATGGAGATTCAAACACAAAAAGTATTACTATTCATAAAAGCAGTCAATAACCATTTCTTGTATTTCATTGGGCTACCTCTAACTTCCCATAGATGCTTGTATCCTTTTACAATAATGGTTATGAATTAAAATACATTTTCCTGAAGGATATGTTGAGCCCTAATCCCTCAAACCTTGAAAATACCTTATTTGGAAATTGGCCTCTGCAGAGAAAGCATCAAGATGAGATCATTAAGGTGAGCTACTCCAGTTAGACTAGAGTACTTCTAAGTAGGGAAATGAATGTACATAGAGACACAAGAAGTATACTGTATTTTGTAGTTCAGTCTCAGACATCCTAGATGTACAGCTTCTAAATTCTTGTACCTTTAGTCTTCCCAGCTTCTGGTTGTTACAACTTTAGGGCACTGATACAGGAAGCAAAAATACCACCCAATGATCCAGATGGAAAGGTCAAAATAAAGCATCACACAAAGCAAAATTCAAGGTTAAGATAGCAATTTGAATATTATATTTTATGACATTTACAGTTCTCTTGTTTAGAGAATTTGCTGAAAGATACAAAGGCAGGCATGTATGCCATGCAGCACACTTCTCTGATATGGCCCCTGCCTTTGTTAATGATAGCTCTGTGATTTCAAGGATGTTTCTCAATGTTTCTGTCTTTCCACACCTATAGAATGGGAGTGATGAGAATATTCACAGGATACTAATGAATAATGAATAAACTTATATGTAAGACACTTGAGATAACAACTATCATGAATACTAATAATGGAATTAGGTATTTTCATCTCTGTATTCAGAAACATTCAATAAAAAATAAGTGCACATAGTACACAAAAATAAATGTAGAAAAACACTCATACACACAAAATAAAAACAAGTCAATCCTAAACAATTTATAGACTCACTCCCACCATGGAAGACTTTACATATTTTTAGAATACTCAGGATTGGACATATCAGCCTTCTCCCATGAAAGCAACTCTAAAGAGGATGTGTATGTCCCAATCTACCATCTATTTACTACCAAACATGGCTCTATGCACACAGGAGAAGACAATCTGCCTGGGTGAGTATCCTTGTTCCAGAACTCAGAGAAATTCTTAAAAAGATGTTGAAAGCAGTTTTACAGTTCTTATCTCCTTAGTACAGCTAGAAATTAATATAGGAAAACAAAAGTAACTGAACAATTTCAATATTGAGACACTAACTTCAAAACAACTTCAAATGACCCTGCTTTCCTTATGCTCCTCCTGGTAAACAACTAAGCAGTTGATTATATAAGATGGTACCTGTCAGACAACTGCCACAGCATTCACTGTCCTAAATCAGTGTGTCTAAGATCAGGAGGCCACATCTCCAGGGGTGGGGTTATTTGGAAGCAAGTATTTCTGTAATGCACTTTAAACTTTGCTACTGGGCCTTAGGGTTTGAGGTGTGGAGTTATGAATGTTCTGTAGTGTTGAGGGTGAGGATCAATGCTGAAATGCATACAGAAATGCCTGTGGCATTTCTGCTTGTAGAGGACTTTACCAATGAGCACTGGACAAGAAGTATACCGTACTTTCGATGCTTCTGTTTTTAAAAACATTAATATAAAAAAAATGGTGCAAACCTAGAACACAACTTTATCACAAGAGCCAAATTCAATTACATTTTTAACTCTTACTGTCAGTTTAAAGACATGTTAGAGTGTTTAGATGTTTCACCAGACATCAGTTTTCTCATACTCTGATTCAAAATGAAACTCGCACTGTCCATTTGCAGAGTACTTCAACATAGCAATTCTGTGCTTGCTCTTGCCATTGCATTAGCTCAGGCAACGTCTCAGTGAACTCCACAAACCAGACTCAGGTTTCTAAAAATCATTTGTAGCTTCTCCTTGAACTATGTCATAGGCCATTTTTTTTTTGCATTAAAAAAGTAGAGTAATTGATAGTGGTTTTTAATATTTCTGATGATGTGGCAGTATCAATGTCTTGTTGTGAGAATCAAGGGGTGTGGCCTTTTAGTTGTGTCTGCTATTTTATGAGTTTTCTGCCCTGTGGTTGCCATCCTGTAGATTTTATCTCTCTCTACACTGACACATTTCCTCCTGGTTAGAGGCCCCTAAGACTTAGGAACTAAACTCTTATCACCCAAGTCTCTGGAAGATCCAAAAGTGTACAAGATTCATATATGTCTCTTCGCCACACAAGGTTATACAAACTATATCAGTTGCTGGAGAGGGGAGCAGAGAGAAAGAGAGAGAGAGAGAGAGAGAGAGAGAGAGAGAGAGAGAGAGAGAGAGAGAGAGAGAGAGAGCCCATCTTTTAGCTGAGGTGCAAGTCATGCAGGGAACTCCAGGTATGCAGCCCAAGTCACCCCCGTGCTGCTGTGGGTTTTTCAGTGGTGGCTGCCCATGAGACCTCAGAACTCCTGTGAATAACCCAGCAGCCAAGCTCCTGCTGCCCCGATAAGTTAGCTGATTGTCTAAAATAGATTTGGACAGAATTGCTCCTTTGGTCTGTTATCAGTGCCAGATCTGGGGTGAATGAATATTTCTTTTTTTAAAATTTGTTCATCTGTTTTTTTCATATTTCCATAAGAGAAGACACAGAATTGTTCATCAATCAAACTGGGGTATTTGTCATCCATGGCATTAAAGGTTGTGATATGGAGCAAACAAAACCTGGCGAGCTGTCCTGGGGCATGCTCTGGGTTCCTGTTTTAGTCACATTCCCCCCCTCTTGCTTTTCCAGCTTCAGTGGACACCTTTACTCCGGCAGTTCCAATGTCTGACTGCCATCCCTTGCCCTGCCCCACATGCTTAGAGTACATGCTCTTGCCCTCCTCTCTTCCTTCATGTTTCTGCTCAAGTATTCCTGGGAACAGATAGTCACAGGCCACTGTATAAACCACAGCTCTCCCAGGTTCCTCTAAAGAAACACGTTCTTTCTCATAGACTAAGGGCAATCTCCTACTTTTTCTATACTAAAATAAAATTTCAAAAAAGACAGAAAATTTTGTTATTATTTTCTTTAGCAATCGCATCCTAATGCAGATGTAGAGATTTTTTTCTCAATCAGTTCATATGAAATTTTCTAATATACACACTTAGAAAGCTGGCATCTCTACATTTTTTTTCTCCCTCCCTCCCTCCCTCTCTCCCTCTTCCCTCCACATTTTACAGACATATGTGAAATCATGTAAGGACTGTTAGTTATTTAGGAACTATATATTCAGATGCATATCTCTCCCAGTAACCTAGGATAATTGTTAAGTTATGCTCCAAAAGTTCTATTGTATCATTTTCCCAACTTTAATCTCGATTATCCTAATTCCAGAATATGCAAAGCACATATTATTCACATGTTTCTCTGAAAAGAAAGGCTATGTAACCTTTTTAAAGTGACAGTGATTTTTCATTAAAAGGAACATGTTCTATTTCCGGGCTTCACTCTATCACACACCAACGAAGCTAAGAATACAGTACAATTTACCAGGATAAAATTCTATTAAATTCATCCTGGGTTACTTTTCAGGTAGCCGTTCACTATAGGCCTTTATCAATAATAGTTGCTCCTACTTTTGTTTACAGGGAAATAAAGCAGGTACTTACATTTGGAGCCTGATGAAGATGACCCGCCAACAGTAGATCTGGACGCCCCTTTCGTGGAAAACACGCCTTTTCCTCTGCGTGTGGTGGTGACAGCCACTCTGGGACGCTTCAGTGGGATGACAGCTCGGGGAGGGGGAGGAACACGCCCATGGTAATCAAACAGCCTTTGCAAACAGGAATGGTTGAAAGTTAGTAAAATGCCTAAACAGTCTGTGAAACACACGGAAGTACTCAGAGAGTAATTATAAAATTTTGTGGCAAGTATGTTTCTGTTCTTGTTTACTATTCAGACAAGATACTTACTAATTAGTTCATTTTTTTCAGAAAGCAACAGGATGCTCTTTCTGGAAATTAGACTGTACCTGACTCTGAACTGTTCTAACAAAGCAAAGGAGCTTTGATCTGATAGCAGTACGAAGTTTGCCAAAATCAAGCCAACTTTTGTCCTCTGATAAGTTTCTTTGTTTGAGCAAACATATTTACCTCAATATTGAGTGTACACTTTGGACACATATATAAATATATTAAATTTACTTGGACACTTATATATGAATATATTAAATTTACTTGAGACTGGAATGATGACACAGATCATGAACCAAGCAGCAAAAGAAAAGAAAAATCCTCAGTGTAAAGGGAAAAAGTAGAAATAAAACAAGCTTAAGAAAAAAATATAGGAACCATATTGAATGGTGCCCAGCCTCTCAGTGTGCTTAAGGTGATCAGGAGAAGCCCCTCCCCTCTTATTGAGGCTAAATTTAAAGGAAACAGAGCTAGCATGAGGGCACAAAAATGTCAACCCAAATATTAGAGGGAACTGTTAATTAGAACACTTGGTTACTCTGACTGCTTTCCAGGTATGCAAATTGAAATAGAGACATTTGTTCTGTGAGCTAGTAAAATGTTTTCTAACTCAAAAGAAAATCAGTAAATTCCCTACTATGACTAAAATAAAAGCTGATATTCACCACAACAGTGTATTTCCAATAAATAGCAGATGGAAGAAAGGTATATGGATGTTAGCTCACACATGGAAATATGTCATTCAGAGATTTTAATAACTCATATCATTTCTTCAGCAAACTCATATGCACCAAAATTTTATATGATAGCATATTTCAGAAGCATAACAACTTAGGGACAAAATTCAGGGTTAGATTTATGCATTTTTTAAATAATTGGCAAACAAATAAGATATGTAATTATATCACCAAGAATAAAAGAAAAAGACATTGTTGATTTATGATTATGCTTATTATACATTTTATTTTGACACTATTATGTGAATTTTAATTTGTAATTGATTTGAAGCAGTCAATAAATAAAAAAACATGAAATCAAGAGAATATAGCAACATGGAATCGAGAGAATAAACTTGAACAGGAAGAAGATAATGAAAAACATTTCTACAAGAAAATACTTCATAGAAGTATATCTTGTGTATATATACTTCTGGGAAAATGTTATACCCTCTTTTGGGAAAACAATATAGAAACATAAAAAATATGAACTGGTTTCCAATAGTTTTTTCAAAAATACATACAACTATTACATGATAAGATAACACTTAAGTTTAAAAGGAACCTTTTAATACAGAGATTATTTCCTACATGCCTAGAAAGGAAAAGAAGTTAAATGTGGCAAAGGTCAAGGGAGGCCCCATCATGAGTGAACTGGCAAAGCCCAAAAGGGCAGAGGACCTACTGTTAAGAGCAGTAGATGTCAGCACACTCGGGTTTCCTTCACAGTCCACAGCTGAATGAGGCAGAAAGGCTTATGAATGCAACCCATACCAGCAGAGGATTGAAAATCAGAAGGGTCAAACAAATCTGCCCCTCATTTCAATTACAAAACAAGGTGCCCTTGGTTATTTATAAGATGAATTCAGAAAGTTCCCTAATTCAGTGCACCCAAGACAATCGAGAGGGAGAAAACATGCCATTTGGTTCTCTCTTCAGGTCGGAGGTAAAAGGTTCCCTTCGTTTTTCATGTGCTTTGAGGAGGTTCCTTAAGTCAGCAAGCATGCCCGTTGGGTAAAGAAAATCTGAAGAGTGCAATGAGAGTCTGGGCATCCAGAAAGATGAGAACTCTGGTAGATGTGCTGAGGAAATCAACCACCACATGGTTGTTAAAGAAAGACACTTCCTGGGTCACTGAAACATTTCTCAGTATGTTGCCACACACACTCTGCAGGCTGTGTTGCAGAAACTTCAGTGCTGGGGTCGCATCTCAATGTCCACTGGCTTTCTTCATCAGAGAATCAGGTGGGATTGTCACCATTTCCTTGTGTCACCCTGACATGACTGTGGAAAGCATTAGCGCTTAAGTGTTTTAATGCCATATGTAACATAAAAGCAAGATGAAAGGAGTGAGCACTTTGAATGTGAATAAAATTCTAATGTTTATAATCTCCAATGGAAGTGAAAGCTGTCTTAAATATTGTGCACTTTCGGGTTTATCAGAAATGTAGGAAAGGAATCTGGGTGTGGCTCTCATACACACTGGTAACATGCTGTGTGGAGAAGGGTCAGTTTTCTGGGCTTGGGAGATGGACTGGGGTTTCAAAATGCAGAAGGAAGTGGCTTGAATGATAAGAAGACAGCTTAGTTTTCTTTTTTCTTTTTTTTTTTTCATCAGAATTCACTCTACAGTAAATAAAATTAGTTTATCTTTATAAATAGCATTGTGAGTAAGGACAGCTCACTTGAAATTATAGGATGTCTAAAAATTGCAGTCAAGCAAAATGGAATGAAAGCAAAATTTCAAAGGTTGGCTAAAGTCTTTAAATTGTTTTTATTGTCATCATATTATTTCATCAATTCTTACAATTACATCTCTACTCTTTTCCTTTGGGTATCCTTAGTTTCCGTAATAGATTTTATTCAGAAAAAAAAAAATCTTCTGACATCTGTTTAATAGATAATGGATAGGATATTACAAAGCCAAGAGTATATCTTCCCTTTCCCAAATGAAATGAACGCACAAAAACTTTCCCTTATTTGTCAAGGAAATAAATGTAGCAATAGTTAATACTGTTGTAGTCCTTAGAAGAATTTTGGCCCTCCACCTCCATGGAACTTCCTGGGTCTGCTCTGACCACACTAGACCTGCATATCCACATCTTTGGGTCTCATCGCCTGCCCTCTGCTGGAGGTAAGTCTGGGACCAGTTCAGGCTGAATGACTCCCCCATCCTACCCTGGGAACTCCCTGGGTTAGCGCTGCATCTTGCTCCCCTCTATAACCTCGCACTAAGTAGTACAGTCCTGGTACTCTGGTCCTTACAGGAGCCAGAGATCTACAAGGATGACCCCAACAAACAATCTGAGCAACAGTAGAGAGGCTACCTTAAATGCCCTTCCCTGATAATGAGATTGATAACTAACTTATATGTGATCATAGAGCCGTCATCTAGTAGTTGATGGAAACAGAAGCACACACCCACAGCTAAACACTGAGCTGAACTCCAGGAATCCAGTTGCAGAGAGGGAGGAGTGATGAGCAAAGGGGTCAAGACCAGGCTGGAGAAACTCACAGAGACAGCTGATCTGAACAAGGGGGAGCTCATGGGCCCCCAGACTGATAGCTGGGAAACCAGCATTGGACCCACTCAGACCCCCTTGAACATGGGTCTCAGTTAGAAGGCCTGGACAATATAAGGGACCTCTGACAGTGGAACCAGGAGTATCCTTGGTGCACAAAAGGACTTTGGGAGCACATTCCCATGGAGGGATACTCCCTAACCTAGAGGCAGGAGGGAAAGCCTAGACCTTACCCCAAATACTTGACAGATTTTGATGATCCCTCCTGGAAGGCATTACCCTCCCTGTGGAGTGGGTGGGGAATGGGATGGGAGGGGGCTCAAGGGTCAAGGGAGGGAGGGATGGAGAGGAAACTGGGATGGATATGTAAAATAAGGAAAAATAAGGAAGAATTTTGAAGCTTCTTTTTTATTTCAGAAACATTTAAAATTACACATTTTATTTTTACACTTTTGTTTGCTTTAAATAGAGATTCATATTATTACCTCCTAGCAAAAGTTAAAAGCTGAAACTCCTACTTTTAATACCTATTTATTTGATGAAGTTGTCATAGCTTGTCTCTTAGAAGAAGGATATTAATTTCATCTTCTATCCTTAAAGCAGATATGCTACGAATATAGTCTTTGTTACTTTGAGAATATATAGTACTAGGCTTTAACAATAATTGTGTTTTGGGAAAACATATGAACAAAGTTCTATATTTATACAACAAACAAAATGAACTCTGTCATCTAAGTTTTCCCTTTAGCCATCTCTACCTTTTTTACATAACCAAAACTATAGTACATATATAGACGTGCACAAAGGATACGTGAATCTGGCATATTAAAACGATTTCTCAACTTTCCTGAATGATTTTCTTTATGTTTAATTTGTATGACTTATTTATTTTTCTAGTAAAAGCTCTACTAAATCAATGCCAATTAGCTCGACCTGTTTTTTTCCTTTACATTTATTTTATTTTGCCAGTAAAGATTAAGAATTCAATATCATAGAAAAGTTTGAAGAGTGAATATTTTACATGTGTATATATTATATGTTATATTGCCAAGTAGTAAATTTTCTTTTAGTAATAATTTCAAGGACTTTTAAATAAGCATCCATTTGGTTTTAAATTTTCCTCTTGAAATACTTTTCTTGCTCAACTCAAGAATCAAACTTATTATTGCTATGTCGTTACTACTAACAGCATCTTTAGTAAGGAGCATAAGCTGCTCAGAGCATGGCTTCTCCCAAGGACTTTCTGTCAATATGTGCAAATCAAACAACCAGAGGAATAACGTTATTGTGTCATATTTCATCCCGGAACCCTATTTTCAGCATGCTCGATTATTGAAAAATGAAAGCCCATTAAACAAGTTAAAGTTCCCACTTTATTTACACGGTCTACATAAAAACTCTGAACAAATTATCCTTAAAAGTCGTCAGGATACTGATTATTTTTATTGCTTTTTTTTTTAAATTAGTAAACTTTTCTAAAATTTTCAGTTTGGCTAGCTTCTTGTTCATATGCAAATGTTTCTTGGCAATGTTGCTTCAAAGGCAATTGGCCATATATATATATATATATATATATATATATATATATATATTTATTTATTTATTTATTTTAGAGTAATCAACATCGCTATCTGCTTTATTTCATATTCAACTTTAGATAATTAAACATTATGTCCAACTGGTTATTTGAGGTAAAAAGAAAAATCACTAAAATGGTTTAATTGTACTTCAGGCTTTATAAGTTTGGAGTTTTAAGCCATTTTGTTCATGAAAGAAAACATAGAAGAGACATGTGCATGTAGATGTTTAAGTTCTAATGGCAAACCATGTCCTTCCCAACTACATACACTATGCTATTATTTCTACACTCATAAATTAGGATACTATTCTATCACTTGATAACTTAAGTTTGCATATGAGACAGATATTACTCCTCGGTAACACAAATATATGTTTCATTCTGTAATTAATCATCAGAAACAACTTTAATATGAATTTTGACATTAACTGAAACACTAGTAACTTTTCTTTAGTGCATCAATACAAGTACAGAATGTTCCAGCACTGAACAATGCCCATTTTGAATCACTTTAGCAATATACATGTTGTCCTACATTGTGAAATGTATGGAACATTTCTTTTTTTCTAACAGAAAAAGTACTTGGTTTTTCTGGTGAGACTGTAGAGAGGATCTTATTAAACTGTCAATTGCTCAGAGGTGGAAGACATTCTCTGGAGTATTCAGCATACTTGAGGGAAATCTCTTTTAATTTACTGCTCTATATTGATGTCTATGTGTGGTTCTCATACTATAAAATTGCCTGAACTCAGCTACACCAACTTTTAAAAAAGAAGAAAATACCACTGAAGCCTGGAAAATAATTACTGAAATTGTATTTTTTTTAATGTAACATTCAAGATAATTATAAGCTAAAACTATGTATAGGCCTGAAACCATGCAATTGTAGGATGGGAATATGAACATCTATGTGTCACTTATGAGATTGCTTCTGAAGGGAGACCTTCCTTTAGCTACAGACACGGCTGGGATTCCCCAAGACCATGTTTCTGTGTAGAGCATTTTTGGCTTCCTCTTATACTCAGTGCATTAAAAGCAGAATTCAAGATGGACTAAGAAAATGGACATTTTATTACTTTTCCCACCATCATCATTATTACCCCAGCTTTGTTTCTTTATACCAGCAAGCACAATTTATTCCAATGACTGATTTCTCTTCCTCAGAGAGCTAAGTCCCAGCAGAAATTCTTTCTCATAATTTTATCTCAGTGAATCCCTTTTTATAAAATGGTAAATTTTAATAACAAGCAATGCTCTACTTCTTACAATTGTTAATTCAATTATGATAAAATGTTTTTGCCCTTTCAGATTCTCAGTTCTTATATAGCAAGTATTTTTTTTTCTAATGTAATTATCTCTGCTAAACATAAGCCGTGTGCGTTCTTGCCTTTCTTGAACAAAGAATCATGGTCTTAGGAAATAATGGAATGTTCACAGTCTCTCTGCGGATGTGTTGAGTTACAGCTGAAATGCCAATCATTGTTGTAAGAATGGTCTGTTATGGGAGAACTATTGTGCCACTGTCTTATTCCCCAGATATATAGATGTTGCTACATGAATACCAGTACAAGACACATTTAACACTGTTGCCAAAATTGTTAATTTACACTGATATTTGGCATTGATTCAGTACTAAAAACATACCAGGACTATTGCTAGTTATTACATAACTATATGAGCTAAAACTGACCATGGATAGCAGGTTTTGCAGTATTAAATAACACCCCAGTTTGTAGTACTGTCCAAAATATTTGGAAAGAGCCCCACATAAACACAAGCTGAGTGTAGCTTAGGCAGAATAACTGTGATTAAGTGCTACCGTGCCTCTGGGTGCATTTATCTTGTCCGTCCTTTCTCCCCGATTTACCTTTGTGGGATTCTTTGTTTATACAGAGAGTTAAAACACTAATGGCAGATGCTTATGTCTTTCTTCTCCAAGGGTTTAAAAAACAAAAACAAAAAAAAAAAAAAAAAAAAAAAAACAAAAAAACAAAAAAAAGAAAGAGAAACTAACAAGAGCACACATTTTTCAGATAATCTGTTAGTAAGAAAATCATAATGATGTATTGCTCAATTAGTAGCCAAATAGGTTGTATATAAGATAAATAACAAACTGAAAATTGGCTGTAGTTTGCTTTTGTGTGGAGTGGAGAATCCTCAGAGAGCTTCAGCTTCTATAATCCTTTCACTGTTATGGTTCTTGGCCTTTGCAAAGTAAGCTCCATTTTCTACTTCAGTTTTAGATAACCACATTTTATAAACAACAAAATGGATAACTTATCTCCTTAACAAACTAAGTACCTCTTTGGTGGGATTTGTGTGTGTGTGTGTGTGTGTGTGTGTGTGTGTGTGTGTGTGCATGTGCGTGAGAGACAAAGAGAGAGAGACAGAGAGAGAGAGACACACAGAGAGAGAGAGGTGGTACACACCACAGTATATATATTGAGGTCAAAGGAAAATACTGTGGAGTAAGTTCTCTCCTTCTTCTCTCTCTCCTTCTACCTTTTTTGTTGGTCCTGGTAACTGAACTAGATCTGCAGGGCTGCACAGCAGCCTCCTGTATCTACTGAGACTCCCCACGAAGCCCTGTATACTGTCTTTTCTTTAAGAATGAGACAACTGCAAATTTGATATTTTACAATTAGAAGACTTATGATACCTACCTTATAAAACAAAATTCATTTAAGTAGAAATTCATTCAGTATACAATAAAGCATTAAGAAAAGTCACTAATACAATGATATTTTGATATGCCATTAAATAGTAAATATTAGATGAAAATTTATTTATAGTAATTAAAACAATGTTTTTCATCCTAAAAATTTTAGCAGGAAATGATTATGAAACTCTTAAAAGTTAAGGTTTTTCAATAAATGTAGGGACTACTTCCATCCTGTCTATTCTTAGTAGGGGATGGGATTACTTTAATGCTGCCAGATGTAGGCATTGCATTCAGAGCACATAATCATAAGCTAATAAATGTTGAAAACAAAACCAAACATATTGTTCATATTATAAAACCATTCGAGGGAATCACTCTTTAGAACCAGCTTTTATCTACAGAAGGAACTAGAGATAAGTGGCTCTGTGAATCCTGTCCGTAGATCTTGCTCCCAGTACAGTTGAAGCTATTTTTGTTCCCCTGTGCATTCCCATGTAGTCTGTTGTGACATTGAATGACCACACTGTCACTTTACCTCTGTCTGTAATGAACAAAATGGCCCTGTGTGCTTGACAAGATTAACTACCTGCATATTTTAAGTATCCATTATTAGCTAAGCACAAGTTGACATCACTGTTGTGCTCATGCACAAAGAGAGGCAGACTTAACCAGACCTCACATTGTAGAAGAAGCTATGGCAATGTGACTAAGAAGTGTGGGGAGGGAGCCATGCCAGCTGGGAGAGAGTCCAGGGAACCTGCTTCAACCTGGGAATCGTCTTCCCACTGTTCTCCCAGTCAAGTGAAGGAGGTGGCCAGAGGTCCTTAAAGATGGCTTTCTGGAAGAACTGAAAAATTATTCACAAATGGGAAGGAAATGCTCAGGGATTTTATGTAGTTCCTTGGATTCCCTTGTTTTAATAGTACTTTTAATTAAAGTTTGAGGAAAATACATAAGTCATTTATGCATCCATTCATTTGTTTATTCCAATTGTCACATAGAGTTTTGTGTGTGTGTGTGTGTGTGTGTGTGTGTGTGTGTGTGTGTGTGTGTTGACTATTCGTGAATTTCCTTGTGAACAATTAGGTGCACAAACAAGTTTTCTCAAATACAGATTAAATTTCTGATACCAATACTTGTAACCTATCATTAACACCCTAAGGTACAGACTGGATAATACAAAGGATAATACAAATAAGTTGGTAAACTTTGAAGAGGATGGTGTCTGCTGACTGGACTCAGTTAACATCGAGACCGCAACCAGGCATTTATACTGTGCCTTGTATTTGTGGCATTTAATGAAAATAGGTAATTAAAAGAAAGAATGGGTGCTTCAAGTAACTTTAGAATCATAACATGGAAAATAAATTCAAACAAAATGTAAATGGATATATATATTATATATATATCAAAACAAATAAACCCAAAACACAGTTGAGCAAAGATGTGTTAGCATGCCCCTTGAAAACATCTAGACGTAGACCTAGTAAAATGAATGAAACGATTCTTTCCGTCATTTTTAAAGAAAATGTACACAAGATGAAGAAAGAATGAGGATATGTGAAGGAAGTGATGTGAAAGCCTACATATGGATAGAACTTTAGGAGAGACCATGCACAATTAGGATGAGTTACTGAGGGTGATCATCTAGCCTCAAAAGGTACAATGGTGGCTCACAGAGCACAAGGCAGGTGCTTGCTCCAGCTCCTCAGTCATGTGATATAAGGTCATATCTGTGCTTTGGAATGACTTTGATAAATATTATATGAAGACATAAATTCTCAACAATGTGTTTGTTTCAAAGTATAAGATGATAATTGCCATTTGTCCCTGTACTTTTAGCACAGAGAGTCAAATAATTTGTATGGATCTCTTTAGCTCCTGGTTCTAATAAAATCAATCTATCACAAAGGCAGATGAATTTTAGGTTTTGCTGCCTTTTCCTGTCCTTCCTCCCTCCCTTCCTTCCTTCTTTCCTCCCTCCCTCCCTCCCTCCCTCCCTCCCTTCTTCCCTTCCTTTCTCCCTCTCTCCCTCCCTCTCTCCATCCCTCCCTCCATTCCTTCCTTCCTTTCAGTCATAATAACTCTCAACTTGAGAATTCTAAGTAAAAAACTGATCTGGAAAATAATTAAACATTTAAAATGTTGTTAAATACTACCAACAAAATTTTAGTGTTAGGCAACTCTAATGCTCAATTTCAATTGCAAGATCTACTGCATGTCAATAAATATAACAGATAAAGAAGATATATGTTTGGTACAGTTGAAAATTCACATTTTATATTTGTAGTCATAAAATGTTATTTCAAGAGTTTTAAATAAGAGCTTCAGTAAATGAAATGCACACAATAGAGAACAAGGTTAAAAAATTCACGTACCGATTGTAGAAATCATCTCTGTAGTAATCGTAGTCAAAGACATAACCACTAAGGAATGAAAAATAAAAAAGCAATTGTCAGCCTATATTAAGCCATGTCCATTTCAATTTATTTATTTGTTTTTATAGCAAGGAATAATTGAACTTGATACCAACATACTTCACTATTATATTTATAAACAGCATTATAAGATAGTGTTAACTTTTATATACTGTATCAGACTACCATTGCAGACTGGCAATTTGAAGTATTGAAATGGGACCAGGGCATGCATTTCAGTGAGGAAACCACAACAGCCATTTCCTAAAGAATATATAGTGAGAACTGCCTACGTGCATTTGAACATGGCCTTTGTTAGGCACTTTATATGCTTTTTTGTTTTAGTCATCACAACTACTCTAAACTAAACTATTAAATAGCCAAGAGGTTGAATGAATTCTTATCACTAACAAGTAGCAAGAGGGCAGTTTGAGACTAAGACTGAATCCACTTCTGGAGCCATTTTCTTTCCATTCCAATATTCCCAACCATAACAAACCTAAACTCAAGGCCCAGCTGCACCACTTCTAGTCATATACCCAAAGTATGTTCTGTCCTGTCACAAGGACACCTGCTCAGTTATGTTCATGGCTGCTTTATTCATTACTACCAGAACATGGAAACAACCTAGATGTCCATAAATCTGAAGAATAGATACAGAAAAAGTGGTACATTTGTTTACCACATGAAGCTGAGGATTGTTCTTTCAATGTCTGGGGAGGAACTGTGTTGGGATTTTGATGGCAATTGCATTGACTCTGCAGATTGCTTTTGATAAGATGGCCATTTTCACTATGTTAATCCTACAGACCCATGAGCATGGAAGGTGTTTCCATTTTCTATAGCTTCTCCAATTCGCTTCTTCAAAGACTTAAAGTTCTCATCATGTAGGTCTTTCAGTTGTTTACTTAGAATCACCCCCAAGATATTTATATTATTTGTGGCTATTGTGAAGGGTGTTGTTTCCATAATTTCTTTCTCAGCCAGTTTATAATTTGCACACAGGTGGCCTACTGACATTTGCAGTCAGTATCTAGGCACATCACTGAAGATGTTAATCAACTGTAGGAGTACCCTGCTAGAATTTTTGGGGTCACTTGTATATACTATCATATCGCCTGTAAAATGAAGTTTGAGTTTCCTTTCTAATTTGTATCTCCTTGATTTCCTTTTGTTGTCTTATTGCTCTTGCTAGAACTTTGAGGACTATATTTAATAGACACGAAGAGAGTCAACAGCCTGGTCTTATTCCTGATTTCAGTGGAGCCCCTTTGGGTTTCTCTCCATTTAAATCTGCTATTGAAATGCTACATTTTAATAAGTTTAAATGAGGGCAATAAAAACGCAGTAATTATTAATATAGGAAAAAGCCTCAAATCTACCTAATTCTTTCAGCAGAATTTTCTGGTCAGGTACAATGTCACAGCCTAAAACGTTCCGTTCCAAGTTTGCTTACAATGTGTAAAATCAAGGATGCAGCAAATCACATTATACTATACAGGTGAATGCTGTCAAAACATCTCTGACTCATTATACATTTGCTTTTGAATTATTTTGTGTTCAGAAACTTACTGTTGCCAAATACTTTCATGATTTCTACATTAAATTTTGTGGCTCCATATGAGGTCATGAGACCCAGTTTAAGAAGTTCTACCAGCGTATGTTAATTTAGTCTCAGATGACTTTTGCCCACTTCAAAATGGACAGGGATTTGACCTGCTGACCACATTGAATAGCTCCTTAATTTTGTGCCAGCTTACATCAGCTCCTGGGAATGCTCTGACCTTTTGTTTCAGTGGGGTTGGGTCCTCTTTACCTAGCTTTCTAAAAATGGTCCAAAGCTTGCCACTTACTAAGTATGAGAGTAATCCATCTGGTCAAAGAAATCCGAAACCCTCTCCTAAGTGGGATCATAATATAAGTCACCACATTGAATTTTAAAATACACTGCAGTCATTCTACAAATCCTTTTATCAGTCTCCATAGAGCTAAAATTTAAACAGGTTTCTATGATTTTTCTGTGTACTGTCACATTTTTCAAGAAAACTGATCATGAAAGTAAGCTTAAAAATATCAGTACACTATAATATGGACTTTGCTGTTTTCTGCGGTGTTAAAAAGGACCATTTAAAGGTTTTTGATGAAGATGAAAGAAAGATTTAATTATAGATATGAAATTTCAATTTAACAGTCACATGTGTCTCCTCTCACTTAATAATCTTTTTGTCTCATAATCTTCCTAGATCTCCTTTCTTGGTTATATTCTCATTGTGATGTCTAGAATAAAAGCGTAATAATATAAATCATAATGATATCAATAGAATTATACAAACCAGTTACAAATTCTGACAAGCTCTTTTGAACATTGGGCACCAGACATGACTCTAGAAACAAGAGATTAAGTAGCTGCTAATTCATGGGAAGATCCTTTTCTTGTAATGGAAATTTTCAGATGTTTGTGAAGTTATTTCCAAATAGTTTCAGCAAAAGAGTGTATTGGCAAATTGTTTTTATATTGTTTTTCTAATAGTCTTTTTTTTTATATTATCTCACCACAGAGAGTTTAATTATAACCATAATCAATGACACATTGGCCAATTAATAAATAAAATATTAATATAAATGACAGTAATGATTATATCCATGTGCCTAACACCTTTAGGAAATGCTTCAATAAATTAAGAACTTTCTGGAAATGGAAAGTACATGAGAGAGAAGATTTTATTTTTATCATTTGCTGTTTAAATTATCTTGTCTGACCTGGTTACTTTTTGTTTCACCCTGACTGCAAGAGACATGTATCTGATTATAAGTTAGAGTGAAGTATTCCAAACTATGTGATCATCACATCCTGCCATTATGAACTCAATTTAACTTGTCAAAGTTAAAAATTAATAGAATGCACAAATAGACCTGTCCTGTCAAGTCTGGTTTTGTCTTAGTGCCTTGGCTTTAGAAGCAGTGCCACAGTGGCTAGTGGTCACTTACTACATTTCTGAGCCAGAGGACCACTCTACATTTCCAAGAATGAAGGGATCCTAAGAGCTAAAAGGTGACTTCTCATGACCCTTGGTCTTCCTCCATTAAACTTTTACAATATTCCTGTTACCTTTTGCATCCTTGTTCCTCTCCCTAGACAATGAATCCATCCTCTTACCACACTGTGGGAACCTCAATTTAAAATTGCCTGTCAAATAATGACAATCAAATTTGCAAATATATATATATATATATATATATATATATATATATATATATATATATATTATATTATATTGCAGGAAAATTTGGTCTTTCAATCCAGCTCGTATCTTTTTTTTTTTAAATCTGTTAACAGAAGTGAGGTATTGCTATACTCATAAGTTAATCTATTTGAGCCCATAATACAAGAGCCTTCTTCATTTTTAATACAAATAGTTTATAGAAAATCCAATCTCAGAAGCTACTAGAAGCATGATGGTAATGAGTAAGAGAGTGAGATGTTTAGGACACTCTCCAGAAAGAAAGTAAAAACAGAAAATGCAAAGGATTTGTTTGGGACTCTGGTCACCATGTGAAGTAAGAGATAATATAAATTGATCATAGAGAGTTTTTTAAAATTAATTTTTAAATTTAAATTAGAAACAATCTTATTTTACACACCAACCCCACTTCTCTTGCATAGAGTTTTAAACAAGAACAAGTACATCAAGTTGCTTACTCTAAAATCAGATATTTATTCTACTTGCCAGAGTATTTTTATTCTAATTCTTTAGATTTCTTCAAATTTTATGGGAAGTCAGAACTGTAAATGCACTTGCTTAGGCTCATACAGACAAGTTTAAATGAGGACGAAATAACTTTCTTGTAATTTCATTTAAACTTTTTTTCTTTTGTAAAAGAAATCACACCTGATTGGGTTTTACAATATATGCAATCAACTTTAATCCCTTTGAATTCATAAACCAGTTTTATTTGAATATACTAATACACACAGCATTTATTTTTTGCCTCCTAGAACTTTATTAATGCATAATCTAGAGGGTATTAATAAACACCCTCACATAAGCAGAGCACATATCACTGATTTCTTAGCAGACATCTGGCCAATATTAAATCTTAACAGTGCTTTTTCAATTCTCATCTCTGGCTCCTAAATTAATTTGAATAGTTGGTTATTGAATATTCATTTGTAGATAATAATACCTTGAACCTCAAGGAATTCAAGTCTATGTAGAAGGGGTTAAATACACACACAGGTGACAGAATTGGCAAGCAGAATTAAGTGAATGGCTAACAGAAGTCTGCTATGAGATCTCATAGGTGGAAGAAATAGAAAATGCCTTGAGATGAAGATAAAACTAGGTTTTGTGGAAAATATATCATTTTATTATGTTTGTAAAAAGGAAAAGTTAGATAATGGTCGGGGGGCTTGGGAGGTGGGGGAGAGAGGGAACTGGGGTAGATATGTAAAATAAGAAAAAATGAATAAAAAATAATGTAACACATCAGGGACACATTCCACCCCGTCATTTTGAGTTCTCATCTTCCATTTACTTGCCTCCACTCTTTCACCAATTTAAAAGCATGACTTCATGCTTTAATCTTCATGAAGATTAAAGTTGTTATACTAGAAGACAGGGATGTCACGCGAGAGGAGAGGAGTTTGCACGTGAGTGAGAGGGAATGGCAAATCATTTTTATGTCTTCTGCTTGAGTTTACATGATTTAAGTAACCCTCCTCCATGATAAGCGTATTAAAGCATTCCCAAACAGCAGTGACCTCTCTTTTCTACCTTGGTATCTGCAAAGAATGAAAGGAAATGCATACATATCTGACTCCTGATTTTATTTGCACTTGTGTGTCTTATTATTATTATATAATTTATTATTATTTGTTATTATTTTCTCTAGCTGCAAAGGCAATAGATAAAAGCACCGTGGCATATCCCTGGTCAGAAAACTACCGGCTAGGGAAACCAACATGAAGAGGACTGTCTAGAGATGTAAGATCTCTACAGGACTTGCTT